CATATTATAAGAGTTCCGCGAATCTTGCCAAAAAATATGAAACTTAACGGAACCGATGAAAGAAATTGCCGTGATGTGGTTTAAAAATTCTCCCCGTCATAGTAAATATTCCGCGAATAACGATTACGCAAATAAACGTGGTAAAGGATCTAATTTTATACGTGACTGGCTATGTACATAATTAAATTAATTTTTCGTTCGATTGATAATTGATACGCATCCTTGTCAGGCTGCGTCGTCAGAATAGGGATGATGACAATTTTTTTTTCTTCGTTTATCAGGTAGATTATCAAAAAGTATTGGACACGTATTTTTTCCTTTTTCACAAAATATGAACATTGCAGAGATATATTGATTTGAAAAGTCGTATGACGTCACGTTTGAGTACACTTATAAGTGAAAATTCCCTCAAAAGTGACGTCACGAGCCCCTACTCCCAAACTTTGACGCGCTATAACTTTGTCATTTTTTGGTTGATTGCCCAAACAAAAAATACGTGTCCATTATTTTTTGATCATCTAACTGACGGACTAAATAGAATTTCGTTTACTGTACCCCGTCATCACCCCTATTATGATGAATATAATTCTGAAACTTGTTTTATTCAACTTGTTATTTTAGTAACAATCAAACCTTAAAAACTATGTTAGTACATTTTAAAACAAAGTTATTTCATATATATGTTATGGGCTAAGTGATTGATCGGGCATTATTCATAATGCCCGATCAATCACACACTCACAATAAGAGCAGGCAAATGTGATTATAACAAATCAGTTTATCACATTGCCCGGGCATTATGAATAAAGCCCAGTGCCTTTTGGGCAGAGTGATGTAAAGCATATTTAATACTTTCAAATGAATTCTTAGATAGACCGAGCATTACAAGTAATGAAATCAATTATCAGGTAGAGTAATAATAACAACATGTTTAATAGTTTAGTATTTATTATAAAAATTTAAATAATCAGACTTCGGTTTTACTTCGATCAATTTACGAAGGGCTACATTTAGAAAATATAGTCTATAGTAGTTTCAATGCGGTTTGTTTGAAAAATTCATTAAATCTGTTAAATGTTCAGAAGGTTCCCAATTTTTTTAGGATGCAAGGACTAGGGAAGTAAGAACCAGTACTTCTGCCTTATCTCCGGCGCTGTGGGAATAGCAGCCCCTCCGCCTTTGCGTGACAAATTCACAAGCATCACTCCCCTTCACACCTTCGGCTTGTTGGTCCAGCCTCAGGCGCTCCGGATCGCACGATGCTTGCAGCTTTGTCACAGCAGGTGGGGGCTGCTCTTCCTGCACACTCTAGAGGTAGGGCAGACTAAGACCACGGCGTGTCGGGGTTGACACACAATTACCTTTTTTCTAAGTATTGAGCCCATATTATTTTTTATTTACCAAGATCTCAAAACAAATATAAAATGGCGAGACATCTGTCATTTTGGCAATAGTACCAACGTTTTGAATTTAATCATACTGCCCGGTCCAAGCGATAAATTCAAGCTATCTCAAACACTGACTTATTACATAGACCACGAGCCGTCCGGCATTATTAATAATGGACGGGCAATGTGATAAATAGGTGAGTTTAGATTGTAATTAATCACTTGAGCTGATAGGACTGGGTATTATTCATACTGCCCTGGCATTATGAATACTGCCCGCATTAATTACTTGGCCCATAACATATATATCTTCCGAGGCACCGTATATGTACCCAGTGCCTCAGAATGGCACACTCCGGTTTTTTCCCGATAACGTCAAGAACACTGTTGGCGCTTGCACGAACCCTGTGAATCATCGATGCAATTCTCTTGCGCATCACTGAAGGGAAGTCGTCTAAGTGGGCATCTGCGAACATACCCGATGCACTGTAGTAGCTTATATTATCTCCCTTCATACTACCGAATCATAAATGCAACAGAGCGATATAGGTAACAATAAAAACAAAAGTATTAAAACTCTAAGATAACCAATCGTCAAATGTGACAGTATATCCGGAAGTGTATGACTATTAGGCGCTGCTGACGTTAACATGATATAAAAGTAAAAGCGAAAGCCATTATATACATACTAGCAAACCAGTGAACCAAATGTTCATCAAAAAAAAAAAAGTATTTAATTAATTGAGAACTTCGGAGATTTTGTGTGGCTTCGTTTGAAATAGAAATCACGTGATTTCTCGAAAACCGGAAGTGCTACGTTACTCACATCCGGTTTGTAGTCTTATCAGACTATTCTCAACTTATAACTTAAACATTCTCTTTATCTATTTCTTACGGTTTGGCCGCTGAAACAGCACCACGGACGGACGGACGGACTTGTCTAATAGATAAGAGATGCCTGTTTCTTGGACTTGTCAAGGGCATTCGACCTGATTTCCTACAATATTTTCTGGAATAAATTACAGAGGCAAACTATATTACCACCTGAACTGTGTGCTATGTTTAGATATTGGTATGAAAACCAATGTAATAGTGTTAGATGGGCAGGTGCACATACGAATATGTATGGGTTGGAGTGCGGAGTGAGGCAAGGGGGTTGACTTCACCTAAGCTCTTTAACTTGTACATGAACGAATTAATCGAGGGGCTTAGCGGAACTGGCATTGGATGTTATATTGACGGGGTTTGTGTTAACAATCTGAGTTACGCCGATGACATGGTGCTGCTGAGCCCGTCGATTGGTGCAATGCGAAGGTTCTTACAAAGGACAATGTTAAAATTGGCCTAAGAACCAACACCAATTTGCCATTTATGATAATTCTTAGTATATTTTTTTGCGATAATAATCAGTATTTAGATTGTGACGGACACTTCCAGTTAAGTAAGCTAAATTAAAAAGTTAATAAATAATCTGAGACAATAAATACCATTTAATGTGTATAATCTATACCAATAATAACCAAGTTTTTTTTAATATTGTTTAAAATCGCACCGAATAAAATGAAAAAGTTGTAATATTACGAGTAATTCATTTCATACTGAGTTCATACTAAGTTCATAGGTTGACCTATGAACTTCATTGAATATTAAACATAACCTAAAAAAAATAGTTTTCCTAATAATTTAAGTTCTCAGAAGTGTCCGTCAATTATCTTTGTTTTTACAGTCATTTATTTACGATTTTGAACCTAGAAAATAATATTTCATGATTGTTGGTTCTTAGGCTAACTATGTATGGACGCTGAACAATGTCCTTTGTGAAACCTATGCGTTGACGCACGGACTTAAGTAAAATGCCACAAAGAGTGAGCTGATGGAGTTTAAAGCTGGTTCGAAAACCTATCACAATATACCCAGTGGCACTCTTTGTGGTGTTGAGTTAAAAAGAGTCAACAAATTTAAATACTTGCCAAAAACTTTTCAACATAACAACATTCTAACCTTTGGGTTAAGATTAAACCAAACATGCCTATAAATTTTATAAAAAGCACGTCATTTTTCTCCTCCTTATTCGATGTTTAATAATTAATGAGGGTGTTCAGGAAAACTTACATCACCAGTTGGCGCCATGTGACTGATTTTTTATGAAGTTTTAGAAGGCACGATTACTGTTGGTCGCAGATGACGTTTAAAGCGTCACCAGGTTTGGGGACGGCCAGATCCTAAAGGGACCTCAAGCCGAGAATTGGCGAGTGCCTCCAGAAGTATTCCAGGCGGATGGCATCTTCCCACGGGGGAGGTCTCCTCTCCGTCTGGAGACACTACAGTTCTACACCACTCAAACCCGAGGGGGTCGGCTCAACTAGAGGGCGTCCCTGAGACTCAGACCTCGGCTCTAGATAGCTGTTGTCGTGGGGGGCGATTTAGGCACGAATTAATAAAACGAGCATATAAATTGATTTCATTTATAATCTCCGAAAATTCGACCACGTGTCTCACTTCCGTAGTAAACTCAATTGGCTCCCTATACGCCGGCGCAGGGATTTACACACTCTCACAGTTCTCTATTCTATACTTTTCCTGCCATCTTCTCCGCCTTATCTTAAGCAATGTTTCTCTTTTCTATCCTCTTCTTCTCAGCTCTCGCTGCGATCCTCTTCTATCCTTCTTCTTGAAATTCCCTGTCACTTTTCTGCCTTCTTTTCTTATTCCTTTTCTATGCACGCTGCTCGGCTGTGGAATTCTCTCCTTGAAGGAATCAGAAAGGCTCGTTCACTTAATTCCTTTAGCGATCAAGTTAAAAGCTATTTCCTTTCCGTTTCTTAAATTCATTTAGCATCCCATTTGTTTGCTTCTCTTGAATATTTATGTAAGGAATATCTCCAGTATTTACTTTTGCACCCCTCTATATTTATCTATATTAGTATTCCTCTTCCACCATAAGTTGCCTGAAGAGATTGCTGTTTAGCAATAAGGCCGCCTATTGTACTCTTTCTCTTGTTTTATTTGTTTATGTCTTATGTCCTTTGTTGTGTGCAATAAAGAATATTTATTTTTATTATTATTATTGATCCGTAGACTATGACGACATACGTGATTTGACGGATGAGTAGATCTATCGTCTCAGTGCTGCCACTTGGCGCCCGTCATTCCAGAAAATCCTCATTGAATATGTTTTACTGTCACCATAGATTTATTAAATCTATGACTGTCACAACAATCTAACTTAGGCCCAAAGTAAGCATTTAATAATGTTAAAGATAAGCCGCACATCACACTGCCATCTTGAAAATCGCAGCTACATTTGTAGCGACATCTCTTACAGGTAGCGCGCCTCGCCTTATTCGATGTTGAATCAATATTGAACCTGGCATCCGTTATTCTAGAAATTGAATATGTTTTACTGTCACCGGAGATTTATCAAATCTCCTCAGTTGACCTGATCTACCGACATTATGCTTCCCGGTGTGTGGTTGAAATTGAAGCACCTTCAGGCATGAACATCCATCGGTCCTCTGAAAAATGTACCCCGCATATTGCCAATTCATCTTTGCGAGCTTAGTGATTTTTCTAAATTCAAACAAAATTTGACTTTCACAGGGTTTAAGGCTGATGAAAGAGAGGAAGCGAGTGGCGTGGATCTTGCTGCTGCTTGCTGTTCTGTTTGCGTTGTGCTGGATGCCATATAACATTATGCAGCTTCTACTCGACATCAATGCCGTCAATCCTAAGGACCTAAGCATGTACCTGCCATACGCATTGTTCATTGGTAAGTTGGTAACTTTTGAAAAACTTTACCGTACAATCATACAGAATTCATTATCAAAGTACAACGATGCTTGAAGTCGAGAAAAAATCGTAATTAAAATGTTTTTTTTAGGGCTTTCTTATTTTTTTTTTTATTGTTAATTGTGAAATTGACAAGTGACCGATTGTTACTGTTTTTGGGATAAATCCGGAAGGACAGATATGGATATGTTTGGGTACAGAAACCTTAAACAAACACTTTACATTCCTTCCTCAATTACCCAAGTAAAGTTCGTTTTTTTTGGTTTTGTTCACAGGTCATGCAAACTCCGCTATAAATCCAATAGTTTACTGCCTAATGACCAGAAACTTCCAGAGGTCCGCGAGGAAACTCCTATGCGGCCGAGGTGTCTGTCAACAAACGCATTTTACGGTAATTATCAGTTTATTTTGTTCAAAGGTGGCAAATAAGTTGCTAGAACGCCATAGTCTATAGATGCTTGGTACTATCCAGTGTTGCCAGGTCCGATTTCGAAAAATCGGGAGGCGTTATTGAAGGTTACCTACATTCTTAATGGCGGAAAACGCAACTAAACATGCAATTTAAAAAAGAAAATAATATCTAAAGAAAAGTTTACTAGAAAAAAATCCACGCGGACCAGGCAGCGGATGGGACTCGAACCCGCATCCTTCGCTATCCGGGCGAATGCACTGACTATTATGCTACCACGGCCCTATTAGCCGCGTCGAAATTTTCCTAGCCTTAAGCTGCAAGGCAGCGCCAGCGCCTGCCTGGTCCGCGTGGATTTTTTTTTTTCTAGTAAACTTTTCTTTAGATTTAAACATCTAGCAGTTAAATGCTTAAAAAATAAATAAAATCATAAGAAAATAATATTCTACGAAAAACTGTATATGCGTGTAGAAAAATAGAAGTACAGGAGAAATTTCAGAAAAACAGGAGATCTCCTGTAAAATCACTAGACCTGGCAACCCTGGTATTATCACTTACACCGTGTAGTTACCCTGATCTACCCTGCCTGTGCACTAAACATACTCATCAAAGGTCAAAAAATCTTTATTCAAAGGACATGGCTAAGAAACTGCCCTTAACGTGTATAAATATTTCGTACTAGCCCGTAACTTTACAATATTTTTTATTAATTATTACCTGTTTATTATTCTCATACAACTTTCGTGAAATAATCAAATATTTAAAAGTATAAAATTTGACTGCATGTCTGTTTCAAAAGCAAAATGTTCCGTTTTACAAAATAAATGAATAATAAATGTATTTGTGTAAGTATATAGAAATAAATAATATTATTTCTAAACTCCTTCAAACTATGACATATTTAGCCCTAATTTTTATTGTAACAAATCCTAGGCCCAAAATAATAGATTTTAATATTCTGATCAGGCTTGAGACAAGGCTGTATGATAATTAATCCTTCAATTTTTGCAAATGGACAAAATAAAACTTTACAGATTTCCTGTCAGGTCGACGATAACAACTTATTTGTATTTATTTATGCTTTAAAAAAACTTTTTGTGAAGAATTAATCAGAGAAATATTCTAAGAAAATGCGAAAATGATGACTGTAAATAATTGGCAACATCTTTTATCAACTGTAGTAAGGTAATGTCATAGTAGGAGTTCTCATAATTTTCAAGATTGTGACTTTATCAAAAGTTCTTTACCATTTTTTCATAGAAATTATAATTATTCAGCTATTTACCATTAAATATTACTAAGTACAGTATTTATACATTGCCAGGGCAGTCGCTCATACAAAACTTTACCATGTCCTTTGTTGCACAATACAACTCTTTTGCATCGTCCATATTTTTATCCTTACCACCAGTGAAGGACATTTTTTAGCTGTTGAGAAAAACTGGCGAAAAAAGCTTCACAGAGTTAAATAATTATATGACAATATTTACAAAATATTATATTGTTACGGTGTAAATACCAAACCATATCATCATTATCATAACTTCAGAAAAAGACTGCCGGAACATTTCGCACAGTTTAAACCCAAGCATTTTTGTCTGCAATATGTAATTTGATTTTAATTGTGTTAGTATTTCTATAAATTAATTTTATCTGTAATTTATTGTGACTAATTAATTTCGATTCATTTTTTTACTATATATATAAGTTGACTTTATTCGATATAACTCTTCTTATAATGCATTGATTTTAACCGGGACATTGTTGAATATATGTTTTTTTTAAATCTTACAAAGCTTTTAAAGGCTTTTTCATCAAAAGTTTACCAGCATTTGTTGCTTCTTTTCCATAACGCATGTGGTCTTCACCTATAATTGTAATAACATTAAGCTTAAGTATTTTATCATTACCTGCTAGATTGTTGTGTCAATGTTTATTATGTTGGTGATCAAATAAATAAATAATCAGACACCTTATAAAAAGCTTTATTACTAAGAACTTCTTTAATAGCAGCTTGACATTGACAAAAACTCAATACCACACAAATTAAGTAAATACTTCCCCAGACTGGCGTTTCAAATCTAGCAGATAGCCCCTATGCCCTACTACTTTTCTTGTTGATCATTTGAACAATCAATATAATAGGGATGATAACTAATTTTTTTTTCTTCATTTATCAGGTAGATTATCAAAAAGTATTGGACACGTCTTTTTTCTTTTTTCACATAATATAAACATTGCAGAGATATATTGATTTGAAAAGTCGCATGACGTCACGTTTGAGTACACTTTTAAGTGAAAATTCACTAAAAAGTGACGTCACGAGCCCCTACTCCCAAACTTTGACGCGCTATAACTTTGTCATTTTTTGGTTGATTGCCCAAAGAAAAAATACGTGTCCATTATTTTTTGATCATCTCACTGACGGACTAAATAGAATTTCCTTTACTGTCCCCATCATCACCCCTATTCTTCTAAACTTTCATGGTCACTAACATTATAGCTATTAACGGGATTGTTACCATGTACTTTGTTTTTTATGAGTCTCCGATATTTCGGCACTTCGTATGTGCAAAAACCGCAAAAATCATAAAAGTGTCGTTCCACGATCTGATACTGTGAGTATTGTGTGTCGGGAACAGGTGCGAGTGAATAGTGAGAATGTGACCAATGATAGGGGTATCGCGCGCAGTAAAAAACGACGTCAGAGGGTAGACCGATAGGTCTGCCAATAACATCTACCCGCAATAACTTCAGTTACTCCGTGGTCACGGCGCTTACAACAGTGCCGAAATAACGGAGACTCATAAAAAACAAGGTACATGGTAACAATCCCGTTAATTCTTCGTCTCTAATGCTAGAGAAAATAAGAAAATGTAGTGTAATATTATGAAGTTCTTGTCTGATGAAAAATAGACATACACACAGTATGAGTTGATGTGTGTTAAAGCCTCTGCAGCGTAAGGCAAAACTTTAAATCTAAAACACGCAGACCTCAGAATTTACAGTTGATGTGCAGTAATATATTTAGTTGAGAAAATCAGTAGTATATGAGATGAAAATACAAATAAATATTGCTCTTAGTTATCTAGCGACACACGGGTTATTTGATTCTTAATATACCAATCTAAAAACTTAATCTTTGTGGCGTGTATGTGCCTCCCTCCGGCTCAAAGAGAAGCTATTGACCGTTGAAGGGATGCGCGGGTAGCGCCACATGCGCCCACGCAGTCATTGGCCGGGACTCAATAACGTAAAGCCACGCGCGGTGCCTTGATTTTCCCGCGCTCGTGTGTTCCGTTAAGTTTGAAATAAAGTGTAATAATATAAACGCGTATTATGTTTCACCGAACCACACTCCACCCGGATGGTTACATCTCTCTAATTTAGATTTTCGCTCGAGTGCGGACTGGTCGAATCCTATTATTTTATGAAGTTTTCACGTCCTACGCTCTTGTAGCTTGTAGCTTTTCGATAATCAAATTATGGTATGTCAACAAACCAAAAGTCAATATATCTTTATTCAAATCGGATACATAATACAACTCTTTTGAATGTTCTAATTTTTTTTTCCTTACCATCAGTTAAGAACATTTTTTTAGTTGTGGAGAACAACTATCGAAAAAACTTCACAGCGTTGAATAATTTTGTAACAATATTTACAAAATATTATATTGTTACGGTGTCAATACAAAATTATTTCATCTTTAACATATTTATATGAAATAACACCAGTACTGAACCACTAATGTTGATAGAAACCAATACAGGCCCTGCCAGAATACCAGCGCTGTTGTCACTCGCATAGTAACGTGTGGCAACAGCATCACGCTGAGGCAGGGTCCTCATTAACCATTAATTTACTTTTATAGTTTTAAGTTAGTTTTTAATTTTGTTTTTTATGTTAATGTTTATGTGTTCTTTCATTGTTGTTGTTATACTCGTGTAACAATTAATGGTTAATAAAAAATCTCTCTCTCAATAAATTTGTATTTAGAAACTTAAGGTATGGTTGGGCGTTTTATTATGTGTGAATTTTTTACATCAACAATGTTCGCATTTGGCTTTTGAATTTGCAATAAGCTCGCTGACGCCACCTAGTGTTCGATCTGCGAACCTGTCCAGATGGCAGATATGTGGGTACTGCGAATATTGTTATGCGCGGGTACGTGAACTTAATAACGGTCGTTGGCTCGTCATTTTCCAACGGCCGCTCTCTGCTGTGTTAGATTCCGTGCAGATAGGTCGTACGCAAATAAAGTGAAACGCAGCGCGTAATTATCTCGAAAAACGCGTAGAAGATTGCAACCGCACCCAGAGGAAGAAAGAAGGTGCTGCATCGGCTGTGCCCACGCCAGCAAGCCCGATAAGGAGGCAGAGAGACATCCAGGTGAGTCGTTGGTGACATTGCGCGGATTCAATTTCCACTTGGTTCATTGTGTTGATGTTTCTTTGTGTCTAGGCAGCTCATACGTAATAATTCGCCCGTCGCATACATATATAAACCCGCATTCCAGTGGATGGCTATTTACACGCCATACCAAGGTAACATACCTAGTTCTGTAATCTTTTTTGTAACTGTCTTACTAAAGTTAAACTCATCTGATGGTAAGTGATCACCGTCGCCTATAAACATCTGCAACACCAGGAGTTTCACAAATGCAACGCCGGGCTTTAAGAGGGGAAGCGAGCAATGTTTTCTCCATACAAACGTTCTTGACTGATTCCTTTTGGATTAAATTGAATTATATTTAATAAAACTAGTTTTTACGGGTTAATGCACGAAACTTTATTTATTTATTGACGTTTCGTAGCCTTTACAGGCTTCGTCGTCAGAATAAAACTTTGATTTAATTTGTCGAGCTACCTTCGAAAGACTTTTTTTTTTTTAATGAGTGATGTGCGTGAAAACCTAAGAAACAAATATGAATTATATTTTTTCATACATAAAATATAATTTTACTCGTTCTATGCCCCTATGTCTTCCCTTTTTTGATAACTTTTATTTTTTTTTTCTTTTTAAAAATTTTTTTTTTTCACCACTAAAAACGTTTAGTGTGGAGATTATATAAGCATTTACAAAAAAATCAAAACATACAGGCCTAGTCTAACTACTTATTACTCTATGGGTAAAATTTATTTTACATATATGTATCTGTTACCTATAATGGGTTACCTACAATGCGAAGAGATGGCGCTGTCTTGGCTTGGAAAATTTCGACGCGGCCATCAGGGCCGTGGTAGCATAATTGGTCAGTGCATTCGCCCGGATTGCGAAGGGTGCGGGTTCGAGTCCCGTCCGCTGCCTGGTCCGCGTGGATTTTTTTCTAGTAAAACTTTTCTTTAGATTTAAACATCTAGCAGTTAAATGCTTAAAACAAAATAAAAACATAACTATATGTATCTTATTTTCGAGGAAGAAATCGTCGAGAGCCAAACCTCGAATTAAGCAATTTTGTACTCAATTTTCAGTATCTCTTATCTATTAGACAAGTCCGTCCGTCCGTCCGTCTGTCTGTGGTGCTGTTTCAGCGGCCAAACCGTAAGAGATAGATAAAGAGAATGTTTAAGTTATAAGTTAAGAATAGTCTGATAAGACTACAAACCGGATTTGAGTAACGTAGCACTTCCGGTTTTCGAGAAATCACGAATTTCAAACGAAACCACCCAAAATCTCCGAAGTTCTCAATTTTTTTTTTAATCAGGTTTAGGTGAACATTTGGTTCACTGGTTTGCTAGTTAGCTACTATTATGGCGATAGGCGCACTGTATTTACCAATGCGAGACAGCAATAGTGTTTTTAAATACCTATTTCTCAAATATAGTTTTTCGGGTAATGGTCTGGAGACACTGCTAGCGACAATATGTTCTAACGTTTTGTCGTATGTGGTAAAAAAAATCGACAAAATCGTGCGTTATCTACCATTACCTCATTTTCCAACCAAAGGAGCCTTACATTTCCACACGTAAAGTAATGATTTTACTGTAGTATTAGTACTTTTTCAAACACGCGGTCCATTTCAAGCGAGAAATCATGATACCTATGCGGACCTTTTTACAAATATTTGCCTTCACAAATGATTGCTGATCGAATATGCTTGGTACTAAGTTATTGATAATCTTTCTATCTTAATAATAATCTGATTTGGCCTAGACCAGGGTAGGCGAACCAATGGCACGCGTGCCATTGATGGCACGCGACACAATATTTTGGGCACCTCGCCAATCATAAAACATGTGTAAAAAATGTTTTAAGTAGGTATTTTATGACGATCGAACTCGAGTGATCCTACGCTACGAAGTAACTGTTTGAAGAAGTTAGCACATGCTATTTTAACAATGTTTTCATCTACCTATGCCTGCGAGTCATTGTTTTCAGAGATGAATAACATTAAAAACTCGTTTAGAAACCGTTTGACAGATGAATCCAGTTCAGCATGCATTTTGCTAAAAGTAGCTTCTTACAACCCTAACATAAATTATTTGTTATCAAACCTGCAGCAACAGAAGTCACACTAATTTTACAGTAATCTAAATTATGCATGTAATAAAAACATTCCAGAATGTGCCTCTTTGGTTTACTTTATTTCATAAAGAGTTCTGATAGTATTTATATTATTATCTTCTAAATAATCATAAAGTCAAAATTATTTGATGGCATGCCAATGACCCAATTAAAGATTTTTTAGAAAAAATGGCACGTTGATTCATAAAGGTTCGCCTACCCTGGCCTAGACTGTCCCAGGAGCGACTAAAGAAAATTACATACAGCAGGATGATTTAAAGTGTAGCAAATAATGTGCAAGATAAAATATGTTGCTGCGCAGCTAGACTCGGTCAAATCATTTTGAGAAAACACTTATCCTTCATTGTAACGTTTCTGGGCCTTTGCTTTGTTTTGTTTCCACCAAAAAATAATAATTACAATTTCTTTATATAATTCGTAGAAAATAAACACTTGAACAATGAAATGTATTAAAGTTATGTTTTTATTGTTTTAAGCATTTAACTGCTAGAGGTTTAAATCTACAGAAGAGTTTTACTAGAAAAAAATCCACGCGGACCAGGCAGCGGTCGGGACTGACCAATTATGCTAATTATGCAGTGGTAGCATAATTGGTCAGTGCATTCGTCCGGATTGCGAAGGGTGCGGGTTCGAGTCCCGTCCGCTGCCTGGTCCGCGTGGATTTTTTTCTAGTAAAACTTTTCTGGTGATGTATTAAAGTTATTTTATTGAATATGAAATTCATTTTCATTCAAGCACTTAATCAGTGAATCTAAATGAACGAAAGCACCGATTTATTCCCCTTAATTATATTTATGTCACACGTCTTGTGGTTCTTCAGTTGACACTTGATATGGGTTCAAGTTAAGCATCGACTAATTAAGTTTCGAGCATGAAACCACTTAAAGAACCAATTAATAATTAAATTGTTTCATCTTGTTTCTCCAACTTCAATCAAATTTATACTATATTTTTATTTAAACATCAAAACTACTTGACTTTTACCATAAACGGAAATTTTACTTGACAATAATTTAACTTGACCAAGGATCAGGCTGGACAACTAACTTTATCTGCAAAAGCAGGAAGTGGTATTAAGACCGGTAGTGCACTGCGGAGTTTCCGTTTTTATAGGAGTGCCTGTCTGGGGAGGTAACTAGGCTAAGAAAGAATATGGGGAGCGGTGCGGTGGGCAATAGGCCGTGCACTTAGCTCCCAGCGCGATCTCCCGAGATACCCCGGGCACGGTAATAATATATACAGTATTCTATCTTCATACAACGGTCGGAAAGCGAATCATACCTACGCCACTCGAGTTCGGGGGAATCCCGGGGGACACCCAGTCGCGAATACGCCGCAGCGACGACCGAACGGTGTGAATTGTTTTTTATGCAGTTAGCCGTGCTTAAACGTGCGTTTTGTATTGTAATATATATATTATATTTAATATTTGATTGAATTAAGTAGATACCTACATAATTAAATATGGCAAAGAACAAACGACGATATTGTGCTGTTTTTGGTCGCTTGAACTCTTTAATAACGCACCCAGAGATATCATTTTTTAAATTACCTGAAATATTGGAAATGTAAGACTATAGATTTTTTTTGTATATACCTATCTACTAGTACGTATTTTGTTTTTAATATTTATGAAATTAAAATACTGTAGGCGGGCGGCCCTACCGCGTGTAACGCAGCGCTCGGCCGTAGGCATTTATTTCAAGGACAGGGCCGAGTCACAATACTGTATAGATAATATTACCGTGCCCCGGGTGATCTCTGCCGTGAAGCCCCGACTAGGCTGGGAGGCTGTTGTATGCAGAGACGCGGTGAAGTCCCTCAAAGGGGAACTCGCGGGCACTTAACAGCGTAGAGGGTATTCGCAGGGGTTTTTAGCGGATAGTATGCCGCAAGCGCTCGTAAGCCGCGCGGCCTGCTTAACGGCTTTTCCGTTTCACACCCGTGAGACTTGCGGGAGGCTAGGTGTGAGGTCCGTTCGTTGGTGTTCCCCATAAGGGCGACACCATTCGAACGCTTTTTTTTAAATCCATGATTAACTCGAGTGCATGGGAAATGCCCTCCAGACCGGCAAGGTAATTTATGGTGGGGTGATAAACAGAGGTGGCATTATAGTGCCCCATTTCCTAACTTCGCAACAAGACTCCACTTCCACGCAATAGCAATTCCAAATGGCAAGAGACCTGGTGGTATGACTTGGCCGCTGCGGCCAAGTACGCGATGTTATTATGTTCTTTTAGTCAATCGCGTCATCGTAGTCACTGATATAAGTCGCCTTCTACGCGAGGTGCCCAATAGCCTGATGTACAATGGGTGGGTAATGAAATACAACTCGATTAAGTAATTGTGATGTTTACTGCTCGGAAGCCAATAAATAGTGTTTCTTAGGTTTTCACGCACATAGACGAGGACGTTCGACTGTAGGAAGGCCAAAGGGGAAGATTTTCCTCCGAGCTGGGTGGTGGTAGCTCGGGGGCCGCGGCCCGACTGATGTTAGACGGGCATCGTATATATGAAGAGTTAGCCTCCGAATTTCATTTGCGCGATGTAGGCTTCCATACTATTATGATCGCAGTGCAGGTAACGCCATCTCTTGAGGATGGTGAGTAATGATTTCCTCCATCTGTTGTCTATATGTGGGGCATATAGATGTCACGACGACGCATTGGAAAAAGAAGAAAGGATGCGAAACGTCAATAAATAAATAAAATCTGTGCATCTAACCCGTTGAAACTTGTTTTATTCAATAAAAAGTGTTTTTCAACCCAATTATTTCTGCATATCTATACATGATACATTGTCGGCAATGCCATCTAGTTACCAAGTGTCGAAACCTTAACACGTCATGATGCGAAATTTGCAAGCCATCTAGATTCACCTAGAGCAGAGTTCCCCAAACTTTTTTGTGTCGTAGACCCCTTGCCATGTTTTTCCGTATTGGGTAGACCCCCTACTTACCTGACATTGATTTTTTTCGCTGACGTAGACCCCTTGCAGGTTGTCATAGACCCCTAGGGGTCGATTTAGACCACTTTGGGAATCACTGACCTAGAGCGACTAGGTAGCGCTGTCGTAGCACTTGAAGATGACGGTAATTTTTGTTTCAGTGGCGATGCACTCAGAAACCAGATGGCTCATCCAGCGACTACGAGCTCTACCATGAGCCACATAAAAGGTGCTACTTACAGGTAAAAGCATTGTGTAATATTTGGTTCTATGTGTATGGTGAAAGAGATGAATTATGTCTCATTGATTTATCATTATTTATCATTTAGCTTTGAAACGATCGCAGAAAGTGACTTAAATACTAAGCCCTCGTTTCCACCAAGAAACAAGTCATTATTGTATTAGTTTTAAACAAAACTTGTAGAATACTTGTTGTGGCTGTTTAAAACTTTCTTTTGTTTACACTGCATAGACAACTATTACGTTCTGTTCAGTCGATTTCCGTCAAACGCTTCCCGTGGTGACCCGGGGATCTAGGGCTGACGAGGTGAATGCTTCGTTGAAATGATCTTCGTTGTGGTCACGAGTTCGAACGCTGCGCTTGACCATTAATATGAGAGCTCAGCTCGGCGGCAATGCACGTGCTCAAGAATTCTCCGATGTCCTTCTCAATCTTGGCGAAGGCACTCTACCAGAGGAGAGAGGTGGACAGGTGGTGCTTCCAGAGTCTCCCGGTCGAGTCACAATACATACAAGAGCAGTAGCGTAACTCAGCCGTTTTTTTGAAATAGATACCTACGACTGAGTGTAGCGCTAGGGTTGATACCTACAACATTTAAAACATATTTGTGTAGATTTTTATTGCATGTGTATAGTTACTATTGCCACGATACGGAATCGAAACGGACGCAGACGGCGCGGGCGGCGCGGCTCAGCTAACTTAACTCGGCCAACGACCAGTCTCGGCGGCGCGCGCCGTGGCACTACGTAGATTTGTCTTGGCAAGATTGGTTAGCGGACGCGTAAATGACGTTTGTCTGTGTGCGTGCGTCGATTCGGGCGCTAGTATGTAGTCGGAGTACTGCTCTTGTATGTATTGTGGTAGAGTTGTATCAAGCTTAAAAGAACTCAATCGCTCTGTGTATGAGGGCATCAGTCGTATACCGTACCAGCAGAATTCTAGGAGGTGTGAGCGGGCCATTTTGACGCCCAAAAATAAACTGCCTGCAGCAATTAACGGTGTCCCGATTATGCTTCTTCGGAACCTATCTTCTCCGAAGTTGTGTAACGGGACCCGCCTTAAAGTCATCTCGCTCTTCAGACACACCATTGAGGCGGAAATTCTTACGGGTTGTGGCGTCGGCGAGGCAGTATTTATACCACACATTCCCCTCATACCTCATAACTTCCCGTTCCAGTTCAAGTGCGTACAGTTCCCCGTGAGTGTTTGCTTCGCGATAACTATCAATAAGTCGCAGGGGCAGACACTGAGGGCAGCGGGTGTCTACCTCAGGACGAGCTGCTTCTCACACGGGCAGCTGTACGTCGCTTGCTCCCGCGTCACCAGTCCTGACTCTTTTTACATTTTGGCTGCGGAGAGCCAAACCACTAATTTTGTTTATCGAGCAGTTGTATAAATATCTATTTGTACCCTATTCTGTATTCCTTATTTTCTCCATCTGCTTCAGTCACAACTTATGACTTAAACTGCACTTTCTGAAGATATGAAATGTAAAGAGGAAACGGGTAAATTAATATTATTTTAAAAGGTATAATCGTAGGTATTTTTGGTGCTACCTAGCGGGTGCGCGGCCATTCGGAGACGGGTGCCGCGACCACACCCGCCCTCTCGGCACGCAGTAGGGGACCGCGGTCCTCATAGTGCGTGTCGGGTGACGGTGCAGGAGTATTGTCTGGTTTTGGCCCTGTGCAGTGCGTAGGCGTTTACAGCGGCGCGCAATCCGCTTCATAGGCGATGAGGAGGTGACTAAACTCTCTCCAATTACGCCGTGATGTGGCGTCACTAAGCGCGTTCTATCGTCTGTACCGCGGCGAGTGTTTTGAGGAGTTATTCTCTCTTATTCCACCTTCCCATTTCCTTCAGAGGAACACGCGCGCTGGCTTACGTTGTCACCGTCTAACTAAAATTCCAACGCGCACAGAGAAATTTGGTGACTCATTTCTTTGTCGTACTATCCGTAAATGGAATGCTCTGCCCGCTCACGTGTTCCTTCCCTCTTACAACCTGTAAAAGAGGCGTGAAGAAGCAACATGCAGGCTGGCAGGGTGAGGATGGCTGCTGTGGCAGGTAGAACTGCTGTATCAGCTATGTTCGCGTCTGGACTTCACCTTCACTTAACATCAGGTGATGATTCCACCAGTCATGTGTCGGACCTATCTATAAAAAAAAGGTAGGACCCTGTTCACTTCAGCGAGTTCCAGGGCTGGTTGAAAGGGGATAAGGAGGAGACCCACATACCTTATTCTCGCTCCCCCGGTGGTTGAAGGATGGTTAAGGCATTTACCAGACACAAAAAAGAGTATTTTTGGAGCTGTATAGCGTTCACGCAGACGACGTCGCAGCGAAATACCGCTCACTGGTTAATCATGAAAATTCAGAAACTATTACATTTACCAACTTAAAATTTGGCAAGTAGGTTCCTTATTAGATTAGAGGTAGATATCCGCTAAGAATTTCACGAAACTCAAACTCTAAGGGGGTAATACGGGGGTTGGAAGTTTGTATGAAAGTCCTATGTTTGTGAAGTAAGAGACTTGAAATTTAACATGTATGCTCTTTAGAAGAGGTGTACTAAACTTTTGGGGTCAAAAAGTATGGGCAAATAACTGCCTCCACGCGTGCGAAGTCGCGGGCGGCCGCTAGTTGCATTTATAATATCATTTAGGATAAGGACGTCAATTTGAAAAATATCCTATTAAAACTCTAGAAAACTCATTTTTGAAGTTATACTTCTTTAGGCGCGTTATGAAAAAATTATGAGAGTGAAATTTTAAGATGCGCTCGCATCACTGTAACACAAAATTTTAACACCATGAAGGTGGACCAACTTCATGCGTTACTTTTGTGTTTACCGCACATTAAGAAAATCTACCAACAAAATAGAAATAGAATCTCTATTTAGTGGGTGCTAACGACTGCATTGTGAAGGCCTATCAAAAGTATTTATTAATCTGGAACAACGGAACCAAAGCGCGATTCGGGAGACTACAGCGCCATCTCTTGACCATTGGTGTAGTAGAACCAAAAACCACATCTTTATTTTTTTAATAAAGTAACAGTTATAGGTATTCATATTTATAATATTTATCCACATGTTTCTAGTTTGTATATTCGGAATACGTGTTTGAGTTTCATACAAGTGCAAATCACATATGTTCTAATAAATTATATTCAGTAGCGATTTTAATTGAATATTTTGTTTTTTTATTTATTTTTTCAAATTGAAACTGAACTTTATTGACTGTGTCCTTTTCCAGACTTTTTATTAATTTATTGTAATTCATTATTTACATGCAATTAAAAACTAATTTTAAACGATGCCAAAGAAGGATAACTTCTCACGCGCCTACATAAGTACACGCACCCATTTTTTTTTTAATGTTAAAATACCAATGACACATATATGAACACCCAGGCCCGAGACCATTCTTAAAAGTTAATTTTTCCACAATGATTTACTGGAGTACGTACGTATAATCGTAGGTGCTAATAATCTTCTTTGTCGTAATTTATCTTCCCTTTTGAAAGTCGCATAATATTTTTTATTTTAAAATCTACCTACCTTCAAAAAACTAAGTTAAGAACTCACAAAAGGACTTAATATATTATTATTATAATGAGATTATTTCAAGTTGACAGAGTGACACTTTGAGGATTAGAAATTTATAAAGGTAACGCGAGTCACAAGAAATTTTCCTAATACATATATTTTAATGTGGAGACACGGCTGAGTTAATTATAGCCTAAGTTATGTTAACTTGTTGATATTTTTTGATAAAATGTATATTTATGACAATAAAAAAATGTTATTACAATAAATAAATTATGTAGTTTTAAAAGAAAATTTAAAAAATGATGGCTATAACAACAGTGATTATTTTTAGTGTCCATAAAAAGGAATTTACAAAGACAACTAAAAACTCTTCCGCGATGTAAATAAGGAAGTCGCCTTTAGATTTAAACAGCTTATTTCAATATATTACAATTGTCGTAATTGATAGGTATATGTAACGTAATCTTTGTCGTCGTACATCCTGCTCAATGATTCTTAATCATCCTACAAAAAGGCATAATTTTAAATGTTATAAATTTGGTTGTTAAAATGGTGTACAGAACTTATACATGATTTACGATTATCTAGTTAAGGGGCATCATTCAACTCGACATATTTCGTCAACTTTTTTTTTCTCGCAATATGGCGCCTCATTGTCCCCATATTGAATTTCGATTACTATCATATCTTTAGTAGCACTCTCATGATTAAGACGAAGTGATTGACGTATGAATCATCAAAATCGGTGGAGGCCTTTGGTCTCTAGCGTGCCACAAAGGAACATACCAGACCTATCAGAAAGTTATGCGAAATACCAAATTTCAGCTTAATCGGTTGAGGACAAGTGCTTTAAAATTGAGTTGTAAGATTTGACCCGAACAAACATACATTGCAAGTTAAATAAAATCTTGTAAAAAAGGTTTTTAAGTATAAGACACTGGCCACTTATAGTAATTTTGAAAACTTCGATTATTTAAAAGTAAAAATACCACTGTTCGATTTTCAAATATGCCTCCGCATTTTTTCGAGAGACAAATATATTTTTCTAGTTTCATTAAAAATGCATCTGCATCGAGAAGATTTTCGTGCTATGATTTTTACGATTTTAAATGTGGCTTAAAACCTGATGAGTCATTTGATTGATTTCGAACTGCTTTTATGCATTAGGGAGAGAGTTCTTTGAAAAGATTCAATAAAATATATTTCTCATAGAACTTAGTTTTTTAGTTTCTCAAAACTTTCCGAGTGTTTCACGTCCATATATATGAATATAGACTGTTAAACAGTATACCCTATCTGCGCTCTTTCATTGCGCAGTCGAGTAAATAGACAGTTAAATCCATTTATCACTTTTGTGATAGTAATCAGGACCCGAATAACGCAAAAAGATGCATCAAAATAATTTCAGCAACTTTATATTATAAATCAGTTTAATTTTAAAGATTTATAGTGAACCCGCGTGAGACTTTACGTCACTATAAATGCACAACGGACAGAGGGTTAAATAAATTCCATAAGTAGCTAAGGATTTTGGGTTAATCTATTTAGAAAGCTTATGATGGATGCGGTCTTCTGAAGATGAGTCTATTATGTTCAACCTATCTCAAAATGAATTTGTGACAGCGGGCGGTTTTTATCCTGCTTCAGTCTCTGCTATCCGGAAATAACAGATCGTAACTTAGTCCCATGTAATGCCAAAGGTTGTAAAGCTCAGTTGTATCGTTATTTTACTATGTGTGGTTGGTATCTTACTTATCCATCTCATTGCTTGTTGCGACAAATTTACTTGTTACATTGCTTGTCATATACTTAATTTGGGTTAACATAAGAGGTGGATGAGGATCTCAGCGAGTAACTTAGATTGAAACAAGGAAAAAGTATTTGGTATTAATTTTTACCTACTACAATCTTGGGGCAGAAAGCACCTCAGTTGTTCACTTTCACTCGGAATACTGCAGCAGTATCTAAGAGCCAGACTGGCACTTATAATCAAAAAGTCGTAAACTAAAGTCATAGGCCAGGAGGGGAGTTCGCATCCCCCCCCCCCTTTCGAAATCCTGACCAACATGTACGCGGTGATGTATAACGCGCCACGACATGTCGATCGAGGGGGCGACGGGGGCAGCTCCCCAGAACCCGCGCATGGAATGCACAGGCGGGAGTTGCATCGACGGGCTGAGAGGGATTGGCGCGCATAGCTAGAGTTAGGAGGCTGCGCTCGTCAACGCGCCGTCGGTGCTATACTCCCGCACTTCGAAGCTTGGCTCCACGGGAAGGAGGAAGTAACCTACCGCTTGACTCAGGTACTCACCGGACATGGTTGTTTCGGTGAGTATCTAAGTCGAATAGGGAGGGAGGACACGGCAAGATGTCACCACTGCGCATCCGAACTCGACTCGGCCCAGCATACGCTGGCAGATTGACCCGCTTGGGACTCCGAACGTCGAGTCTTGGTCGGAGAAATCGGCCAGGATCTGTCTCCGCCAGCTTTGATTGCGGCAATGCTGGTGGATGAGGGAGGTTGGAGGGCTGCGGCCTGCTTCTGTCAAGCGGTGATGCTCCAGAAGGAGGCCGCCGAGCGGGATCGGGAGATGGCCGATCTTAGTAATTGTACTTCAAAATATTACTCAAGTGACTGTAAAAACCATGATTCCTTTGCTTTTTCTAAATAAAAAACCAAATGTCAATTTGACAATCCTAAAATACAAACAAAAAAATCATTCGCATTTCGCATCCGCTCCCGCGTACTGTGATTGTGAATGTTC